GGGGGCGGCGGGGGCGGGTGGGGCATAAATGTACACATGTGCACGGGGGTAGGGGAGGAGTATCAACGAAGAACAAAGAAATTTCAACTTGGGAACTTTATAGCTTCTTCCTGCTGGTGTGCGTTGATCTATCACTGGCTATGATTGTTACCCACAGTTATAAACGTGTGCTCAAGTTTTCAACAGGGAAGAATTATAGGAGTTTCAGGTATGCTTTTACAGCTACATGGTGGCCTTCTGAGCCAATGAAATTCTGAATGGCCAAACCCAACTGCCTTTGGGTCAATGCTGTGACAGAATAGAACTGTCCCATAGGGTTCCTAAGGCTGCAAATCTTGACAGAAGCAGACGGCTTCACCTTTGTCCCCTGGAGCTGCTGGTGGGTCCAAACTGCTGGCCTTCAGTTGGCAGCCAAGCACTTCCAGCACTGCGTCGTAAGGTAATAAATGATGGGGGGACAGAGGGGGGCTGTTCAGTGGGAGCAAGGTTGGTCATGTACTTCTGTGAAGACTACAGCCTAGGAAGGTCTATCAGCACCTCTCTGTCATTTGGGGTCACTGTGAGGCAAAAGCTGACTGCAGCAGTGGATAAGAAGTAATGAACAGCCCCCATGGGGATCCTCGCTTCAGTTCCATAAGCTACTTAATCAATAGCATTACAATACAAATCGAGAAATGGCCAAGCGAGATCTCCTCTCCAAATGATGAACCTAGAGCAGGGTGCAAAACAAGCTCACTATAGTTACAAAACAGCTATGGGAGCCTGTGTAAAAGCCGCCGTCAAGCAAGACCCGCGGGAAGAGCACACAGAACTGCCATTGAAAGACACGGAAAGAATCATGAAGGCCAGGCCACCGGATTCCGGGAAACAAGGAAGGAGAATAAGAAAAGGAACGGGGGTGTTCCACATCAAAGCCAGTCAGTAGGTCCTGTCTACTCGGCTGAGCCACTGGACTCACTGACCTCTCCCAGGGAGCGTCCTGGTCCAGATCTTAGCCTACCTCTCTTGAGGACATTTGTGATGATGTGAAATTACTCCATTCAGTTCTTCCATCCATACCATTGTAGCATCCCATTGGATGACTGGATGGGAACATGCAATCAAGGGATAGAAGGATGTAACTCTAGGTTACAGAGGCTCCGTTTTGCTGGTCTAAAACAAGCAGTTTCAGAAGCAGAGACAGAGAATCTCAAGACCAGAAGAAGACCCAAGAGCAGGTGCATCTGACATCGCTGTGCAGAGAGCTAGCAACAGCGGCCAGCACTCGGGCAGCCGAGGGGTGACTGTAATGGAGTGCCTTGGGGCAGGAGGATGGCATGGCGAGTGGGTGCCCTTTGGGCTAGCAGAATAGATTGACCTATGGCCATCAACCAAAGCTAAAGGAGCTTTGTAACACTGGTCTGACTGAGGGGGCAGAAGCCAAGGGAAGCAAGGAGGGGGAGATGGGGTGGGGGGGCGGCTGATGGAAAAGGGGAGAGAGAAGTGCTTGCTGGCATTGCTGAGAAGAATCACTGCAGGCAAAGCAAACAAAAATTATACTTACTGTTTCTAAACATGATTTGTAACCTCTTATCGTCCCCAATGAACCCCCCTAATTCTGAGTACTGTTTGTGTAGACATTGCAACAGAATATCAAACTCAGCATAGAAGCAGAGTGCCAGGGGAGGGGCACTGGGATTCAGAAT